TGCCTGTCAACTAGCCAACACTGACAGAGTACCTGCCATGGGCCAGGAGCTTGGCAGAGGAAGCGAGAGGAGCCACACGGCAATTAGAATAACTAGGTAAGGAGGAGGAGAGACTGCACTACTCAAACATTCTCATGCAGGCGTCTTGGGCCTGGATTGAAGCTGCCAGCCCTAAGTGGTGTTTCTTCACCTTCTGTGAATCTGGAATCTGCTCTAAATATCCTGCGCTGGTGAGATCAAGCGCACTCAAATGATCCAAGGCACAGGCTTATCTGACCCTTCAACACTTCAACACGTCATTGTCATCTACAAACGTGTTGCATCGCATCCATAGGTATCCTGAGATACACATGGCACAAAAGCAGTGGGTTGGATGTGCCTCGTGGATGTCTTCCTTGCGGAAAGTCAGAGCATATGGATTTTAATCTCTACAGAAAGCCACCACCATAATGCATAGGCCATAGCATTAGGGGACGGGGGATATAACCAGGAACAGTGGCCCAGGTAGGTGTCCCATAGGGGTAACCATGCCAAAGCACTTGAAGAAAGCCCCATGGGAGGTAGAGGCAGCAACTGGGGAGTAGGTGTGCCAGAAGCAGGCAAAGAGGTGTGGCCAGGAGGCAAAAGGCAGCAGGGCAGCAGAGTGTGGGCAACAGGCAGAGGGCATAGAATTGTGGGCAGCAGGAGTGTGGACAGCAGGAGTGTGGACTGCAGGCAGAGGGCACAGAGTTTGGGGCAGCATGAGTGTGGGCAACAGGCAAAGAGAGGCGTGTGGCTTCAGGCAGAGCTAGGAGCATAGGAAATGTCCGGGAGCCAGGGCTGAATTCAGAGGCTGGAACAACAGAGGAAACTGGAGCAGAGGAATAGCTTAAAAACCAGTGTGTGTGTTTCAAGGAATCCTTATGAGGCCCGTGGAGCAGCACAGGGGCAGACCCTTGAGAGGGCTGACGGTGTAGATAGGATTTCTAGTTCAAGGGGCAAGAGTGGCGGGATTACACGGCAAATCTATCAAAACTGAAATTCGGTGTAGGGAAGGAAAATGACATTCTAAACGGGATCACCTAGCCACAGTGATCAAGAAAAGACAAAGAATTACATCAGCCCTCTGAGGTCTGTGGCAGGCACTCAAGTAAGCTCACCTTTTCCCACTCCCACCCCCTCCCTGGAGCAAGGGGCTCTGCTTCTCAAGATTCCCTCTATCCTTTAGTAATATTTCCAGAACATTCCAAAACCAGAAAGTGTCCAGATGCTAGGAGGGCCCACATGCTCATGTCTAGTGTTGGATCTGGTTGTCTGAGTTGACTCTTTAGGGGTTCTGAGACTGGAGAGTCCACTATCCACCCCCACCCCTGCAGGAGGCTGCCCACTGTCCACCCCACACACACACACCCTACCCCTGCAGGCAGCTGCTGGCTGCTGTTTTCTTCCTTTAAGGGAAAGGGCTCCCTGGAAACCCTGCTCAGGGCTGCACTTTGCTGTTGTGACTGATGCAGGCTATAAGGTACCCTCCCCCTCCTCAGCCCCATCTGTGCCTTGGCCGGAGGTTTACCTAGTGATAGTCTATAAACAGCATCCTGACGCAGTAACCATGCAAAGCAGGCATTAAGGGAAATTTATATCCTGGGAGGAGTCAGGAAAGGGACTCAGAAGACCTGGTCCTTCCCAGCTCTGGCCTGGGTGTTGTGAGGGGGTTTATTTACTGGCTCAGCTGATGATCAAGAGGCTGAGACATGGCAATGCAGAGTGGGGAGGTCAGAGTCAGGGGCCTTTCCTGAGAATAAACATAGGGAGTGGGCTCATGTGTACACTTTGCACAAAGAGATGCACACGGGTACACATGAACACACATGCGCACTGCAGTTTTTGTTGAGATGCTGAAGTACAGGAGAGCCACCCCACGGAACACAGACGGAACAGTCTCAAAGGGATCAACAGGTTGGGTGTCTCCTTCTGCACCTGTGAAATCAGAAATCAGTGTCCATTCAGGATAAATTCAGGCTCAAAACCTGAGCAGGAGAGCAGGCTGGGTGGAAGGGTCACTCCCTGAATACACACACACACACACACACACACACACACACACACACACACACAGTGGCTGAAGCAGCAGGGCACCCCCTGCTGGTACTGGGAAGGCAGGCACTTGACTGGCATTGACCATCCCCTCCTCAGAGTACACTGGAGGGAGGGGCTTTGGTATAAACTTCCATGATACAGCTGAGAAAAATACCAGCCCCATGGAGGATTTCTGTTGGTCAGGGTTCTCCAGAGGAACAGAACAGACAAGAGGGAATGTATATTAAAAGGGCGTTTATGAGATCGTTTATGCAATACGGTCTTGGTAGTCCAACAATGGCTGTCTTCATTCTGGAGAGGCCAGGACCCTGGCAGCTCAGTCTACAAGGCCGGTTCCCCAGCTGTCCCGATCTGGTGCTAGAGGGCTGGAGGATTCCCAGGGAGCCTCTGGTCTTCATTCCATGCCTGAAACCCACAAAAGCTGGGCAGTGCCAGCATGAAGCAGCAGCCGAAGAGATGAGCTTGCCAACAAGAATGAATGAAGCAAGCAGACAAAAAGTGAAGCTTCCTTCTTCCAACGCCTTTATCTGGGCCGCCTCCAGAAGATGCCACCCACGCTGAGTGTGCAAATGAACTGGAATGTTGGAAGTCCCCTGCCCCCAGCATCTGTAGGAGTCAGCCAAGGCAAACCAACATCTGGAAGTGGGCAGGGTCCCTGCCCTGCCCCCCACACACACACACATGCACACAGCACATCACACCACTGACATGAGCACCAGGTTCCCGCCCTCATTCTTTTGTAAACGTTCTCCATGTATATGAACTTGCTGTCCCAAGCTGTGTTTGTCAGATCCACGGGAGGAGTGAGAAGGTACATAAGGGCTGAGTGACTAAGAAAGGTTGCTCAAAGGGTTCACAGGCAGAGGTATAGCCAGCTTGTAGCATTAGTCAGGTAGGGGATTGGCATCTGACTGCTTTTGGCTGGCACAGACCACATTCCCTGCCTTTCCCCTCTAGACAGTGGTGCTCTTGGTGAAATCTGGGGACTCTGGACCCTAAGGGCCTCCAAGGTAGGGACCTGGAGTGGCAATGCCCCATCTTCACTTCCTCTATGTCCTGATTGTACCCCTGGCCACACCCACAGGGAAGCCAGATGGCAGAGGCCAAGGAGTGGTCCCAACGGGGCTGCCAAGCCCAAGGCAGTAGAGAACAGGGGGTGGTCTGGAGCAGGACCCAGTAGAACCCACACTGCAGGGTCCAGATATACAAAGGGGGGAGGTAGCCTTTAGTTGCCAAGTCCCCTGGGCAGTAAAGTCCCTGGTAGCCACATGTGGGGCAAAGAGAGGAGACACACTTTGCTTTTATCTTGAAAACAGAGGCTATCTGGGCCATATTGCCCAGATTCTTACAACAAAGTCGTTGAGGGCACTAGACACCTCTCCAGGGCCACCAAGCCCAAGGACCCAGTGTCTCTAGAGGCTGTCACTATCCAGATGAACTTCACCAGGCCACAGGATAACCGACCCCTGGGCAGAAGAGGTGTCTCTGCACTTCTCCTGGACAGCCAGCCTATGACTAACAGACACCACACACACACACACACACACACACACACACACACACACACACACACAAACACACATAATTCTTGACATATCATTAAACCAGTACTTCAAACACACAGCCTCAGACACACAGTTGGATTTCCCCTAGAGGCCTGGAAGGGTCCCTCTGAAAGGCTGGCTACAGGGTGTTTCTTCTCTTTCCCAATCTCCACTTCTTGGAGAAGCAGGAAGACTTAGTTCCTGATCCTGGCCTTGACTTTGGAAGGTTCCAGTAGGCCTCTTCCAGTGTCATCTGGGTGCCACTGGATACATTTCCTCTTCCTGCCCCCAACTATCTATGTGGGTCTCCTCCCTCATTGCTGAACTGGGAGAGCCTGGCTTCTGACACTAGATGCCTATGCTGTGTCCAGAATCTTCTGGCTTAGGAGTGGTTGACTGCTGAGTGAGATATATCTGTGGTGTATATACTCGTCCACATGCACACACACCCACAAGTCCATGCATGTTCCCCAGCTCCCCACGCACCTCCCAGGCAGGACTGTCATGTCACATGGAGTCCTGGACAGAGTGTGAAGGCCTGATAAAACACCTGGCCGAAACAAAACTGAGTGAAGGGAAGGTCTGTTTGCACTCACAGTCTTGGGGGATTCAGTCTATGATAGCAAGGGAGACATGGCAGAGTCCGTGGCAGTGAGAGCATCTGACAAGGCTCCTCACACTGTAGGAGACAGGAAGAGTGACTCAGAACCAGGGGTTCATATGACCTTCAAGAGCTGCTCCTAGTCACCCATCTCTGTCAGACAATCCCTACCCCCTAAAGGTTTCATGGCATGCCAATAGCTCCATCCCTTGGAACCAAGTGTCCAAAACATGCTCCAATGAGGAACAGTTCAGACTGAACATGTAATTCCATCTTTTATAGACACCAAGCTTCTCACATGAGACCTCTGGGAACATAGCCAAGCCATTGTCCTTGTATTTGATGCTAGTTTGCAAGTCTTAGTGACTAGTTGAGTGCCCCCCACCACAGCCTGTAAGCCCCCTGAATGTAGACCCTGCACTTGCACTCACTATGTGTGCCTGCAGTCAGCATGGGTTAAGCATCTGGATGTCCAGGAAAGGCTCTAAACTCCATCTTGCAACCTCATGGATAATGTGGGGAGTTTTCTTCCAATTAATTATTTTGTGTGTGTATTTGTGTGTGAATCTATATGCTGCCTGTGTGTGGTGTCTTGGAGGTCAAAAGATGGAGGAACTGGAGTTATAGATGGTTGTGAGCTGCCATGTGGGTGCTGGGAATTGAACCCAGGTCCTCTGGAAGAGCAGCCAGTGCTCTTAACCACTTGAGCCATCTCTCCAGCCCAGATACGTGCGTTTTGATCATCGAAGCTAATGATGCTTTCTTCTCTGCTTCCCCAGGAAGAACCTCCCTCCTTTCTGTCGTGAACACAAATGCCTTGTTCTTGGAAGCGACCCATGCTCCTGTCTGTTCATGAGGAGCCCATGCCCACCACAGCCTCTTTTGGGTGAGTCAAGGGATTTTCAGTTGACTATCAGTCACTCTAGGACTCCAGGAGGGCTGCATCCTGTCCTGGATCATGGTTGAAGTGGCATCCACATTAGGCCTGAGATCAAAGCTGAAATCGTAGTCCCCATGTTTGTCAGAAGCAGCAGGAGTGGGCTTTTGTGGGTCTAAGGGAGGACCCGAGGACACATCATCACAGGCGAGCTGTCCAAAAGATAAACTTGGAAAAAAAGGTAAAAGAATCAAACTTTGGCCAGGAAGGTAGTGGCACACACCTTTAATCCTGGCACTTGGGAGGCAGAGGCAGATGGCTCTCTGTGAGTTTGAGGCCAATCTGGTCTACAAAGTGTGTCAGGATAGCCAGAGTTGCTACACGGGGAAACCCTGTCTCAAAAGCCAAACAGCAACAAACAAACAAAAAGAATCAAACTTTGGCATCAGTACACAACAGATCAGAGAGGTCCAAGTTGTGAAGACAGGGCTGGAATTGACGTCTGCTGGAACACAGAACACTAAGGGAAGCCATGGGGAAACTGAGTCAAGGCAGAGCCAGGAGACAGGGCTCCATCCTGACGGACCAATGCTGGCAGAACAGCAGAGGGCCCTAACCTGTCCATCCTATGGCAAGTGCAACAGAGATGTCCACCCCAGCAGGCCACTGAGAGTTGTCCCGTAGTCCTCAGTATTCACTGGCCAGGCAGCGTCCTGACACGCCTGGGTTTTCTCAGAGTGCTGGCCCACAGAATGACTAAGATGGCATACTTGAGTCTCTAGTGGGCAAACAGCTCCCCCAAGCTGCTGCTAAGAACATGGGCTCTCTGTGTCCACAGAAATAGGTCCCAGGGCTGGAAAGAGGACACTTGGAAGATTCCAAAAGAAGCTGCCTGTCCCATTGGTCCTCAGGGTGTAGGACAGCCTGTAAATGGCAGCTTCTCTCCTCTTGGCAATGACTAGGCTCTGCTGGAAGAGGCCGAGCCATGGGGGCAGAAACAGCACGGACTGCATTGGGGTTGGCAGCTCCACTTGGAACTGTTCACTCCCTAGGGTGTCTGGCTTCCCATGGCCAGCACTCTGTGAGGCCAGGAAGGTGCTGCTACGCATTTAGTGACCTCACTTTGGAGGTCATACCCATTGCTGCAACTAGGTCAGCAGCAAGTCACTAAATCCAGCCGCACCCATGGCAAGAGGAATTAGACTCTGTCTCCCAGAGAGAGCTGTATCAGAGAATTTCTTTGTATCAAGACTTCTTGGCCCGGCAGTGGTGGCGCACGCCTTTAATCCCAGCACTTGGGAGGCAGAGGCAGGCGGATCTCTGTGAGTTTAAGACCAGCCTGGTCTACAAAAGCTAGTTCCAGGACAGCCTCCAAAGCCACAGAGAAAAAAGAAGATATCTACATCCATAACATTCCCAGGGCAACAGTGAAGACCCTTGTTCAGTCTTACTTCCTGCATCGTCCATACAACCCCTTTCATTTCTGGGACTACCTTTCAAAGTTTAATCTCACTTCATGACCCTAAAATGGATGAGATAGGTCACTGTTCAAACCCTTGGCTGTCTTGTCCTCCCCCATCCTCAGGACTTTGTAAACTCTCTTGGGACCAGCTCCAGGACCCCTGATGACGGTGGTGAAAGTGATGGTGGTTGTGATAATGTTGGTGATGGAAGGTGGGAAGCTGGGTCTGTTCCCTCCTGAAGTCACCACCTACCCAGTGTTCCTCACACAGGCACCCATGGCTATTAGGAGCAAGGCAGGTGACCATGGGACTCCTTATCCCCATGGGAGCTACAGAGGCTCCAGACACCCCAGGGTCAAAACTGTATCACCCATGAGTCACCTGGCTTTACGGGGGCACGAGCCCAGAAGATACCCAGGCACTCTTCCTGGGAAGTCCCAGAATGTTGAACAGAACCTTCCCAGATACTGTCTACTGCCTCCTCTCACCTGCCCAGCAACAGGCCTCTGGGAAGGGGCCCCTTGCCTCTCCCAGCACCCACTCCATAGGGGCCATGCCAATCACACTTGCATCCCGGGTGTGCGTTAAGCTTTTTAATGCATCTTCACAGTCATTCTTTGATTTGAAGCTTACAACCACCATACCAGGCCAATAAGGAAGAGAATAGCACGCTGGTCCAAAGAAAGTAGAAATGGAAGCCCAGAGAAGTCAAGCAATGTGCCCAAGGCTAGAACTGGAACCCAACGTTTGACCAAGCCGAGTGCATCTTTGCTGAACACAGATATAAATTCTCTCACTCTGAACACTTCTGAGAAGGGCTTACCTCATGGTGTGTTAGTGTCGCCTAAAAGTGAAAGAGGAAGCCAGGGCTTAATGTGGACAAGGGGTCATCAAGGATTCATGAATGATCATACTAGTTTGACATTGATTTCCGTTTCAACAGGTGGACAGAAATAGATAATTACTCATGTTTGTTGAACCAAACATAGTGCTTGGGACTTTTGAGATCTCCACCACAATCCTAAGAAGTATATTATATTATTCCCATTATACTGGTTAGGGGGTCCAGAGACATTAAGTAACTGTCCAAGGTTACACAGTTAACTAATAAAGGAGCCAGGATTTGAACCCAGGTCCAAAGCCTCACCTTCTCTCTTACCGTGCTCACCTTCGTACTTTGCTGCCAGTGGGCACGGGCATAGATGCTCCTTCTGCCGGAAGACACAGGCTGTCCAGGGAAACCGCTGTGGTCTTTGGGCCATGCTGCAGTCTCTCCTCCAGGCATGACATCACTACCCTAATCTAATTCATTGCTCATCATAATGACCCAGCTCTGAGAGGCTGAGGGGTGACTGCGCCTTAGGCAAGAAGAGAGAGAACATAGTGTGCACATCCTCTCATCATGGTGACTTCGGGCGGGGGTGGAGTGGCGTGGGATGGTCCAGGCATGGGACTCGTGATTGTTAGTGTGGCCAAGGAAGGATTTTTTACAAAGAGCTCAGACCAAGAAATGTCATGACCCTTCAGTTCCATGAACAGAGGACCTCTCAAAGGGCTCTCTCAAGTGCCCCCTAGTGTTGCCCACAGAGGGACCAGAGTCCTGCCACCCCGCACACCCTTGCTGCCCTGGAGAGCCATTAGCAGAGTGGATAGACCTTTTTTTCTCCCCCTCCCCTTCTGTACTCCCTTCCCCCCCCCCCGCTTCTCCCAGCTTCCCCCTGTGGCCTGAGGGTACAACTGTCTCTCTACCCCTTTCTTTCAGCTTTGAAATGTTCAACGTCACCACACACGTCCTCGGGTCTGCTCTTAACAGGACCCTCTCAGAGGATGACAACTGCCCAGACACCGAGTGGTGGAGCTGGCTCAACGCCACCCAGGCCCCCTTCCTCTGGGTCCTCTTCCTGCTGGCTGCACTGGAGAACATCTTTGTCCTCAGTGTGTTCTGCCTACACAAGAACAGCTGCACCGTGGCGGAGATCTACCTGGGCAACCTGGCCGCTGCGGACCTCATCCTGGCCTGCGGATTGCCCTTCTGGGCCATCACCATTGCCAATAACTTCGACTGGCTGTTTGGAGAGGTGCTGTGCCGCGTGGTGAACACCATGATCTACATGAACCTCTACAGCAGCATCTGCTTCCTGATGCTTGTGAGCATCGACCGCTACCTGGCACTGGTGAAGACCATGTCCATGGGCCGGATGCGCGGAGTGCGCTGGGCCAAAATCTACAGCCTGGTGATCTGGGTCTGTACGCTGCTTCTGAGTTCTCCCATGCTGGTGTTCAGGACCATGAGGGACTACAGTGAGGAGGGCTTCAACGTCACCGCCTGCGTCATTGTCTACCCATCCCGCACTTGGGAGGTGTTCACCAACGTGCTGCTGAACCTGGTGGGGTTCCTCCTGCCCCTGAGTGTCATCAGCTTCTGCACCGTGCAGATCCTACAGGTGTTGAGGAACAACGAGATGAAGAAGTTCAAGGAGATCCAGACAGAAAGGAAGGCCACTGTGCTGGTGCTGGCTGTCCTGGGCCTCTTCGTGCTGTGCTGGGTGCCTTTCCAGATCAGTACCTTCCTGGACACCCTGCTGCGCCTCGGCGTGCTGTCCGGATGCTGGGACGAGCACGTTGTCGATGTCATTACACAGATCAGTTCCTATGTGGCCTACAGCAATAGCTGCCTCAACCCTTTGGTGTACGTGATTGTGGGCAAGCGCTTCCGAAAGAAATCCCGAGAGGTGTACCAGGCAATGTGCCGGAAGGGAGGCTGCATGGGAGAACCCATCCAAGTGGAAAACTCCCTGGGGACTCTGAGGACCTCCATCTCAGTGGAACGCCAGATCCACAAGCTGCAGGATTGGACAGGGAACAAACAGTGAAGACTGGTGCAACCTAGGCTACTTAGCCTGGGTTCAGGAAGGAGCTCGAAGCATCACCCTAGGCAGCCCCAGGGAAACAGGCAGATGATTCCAGACCTGTCTCACAGCATGAGCCTGCTGTGAGGAGTGGGTGCCCTGGAGCACAGTGGGATTATCCTTATTGGCTGGCACTCTGGGACCTCATGAATGGAGGGGTCCTGGGGTAGGGATGGGAGTGATAGCTCCTCCTTCCCACAGTGGGTGGGGAAGAACAGATCTCCAGGAAAACTGCTGCTGGCTTTAGTCCTGTGGCTACATGCACAGGAGGCCTGGCTGACTTGCTCCCGGGTCTCATGGTTTGATGACTTCTTGGTCTCTGAAGGTTAAACTCGAGCAGTCCCTGGTAAGGACCCCAGGACTGTGCCACTCCTCTCACCCGTGGACAAGGTGAAAAGTGAAAAAGAACCCTCCAATGTGTTCATGGAGCGCTTGCCGAATACACAACATCAGATGCTGTGGGCAAGACGGAAGAGGGTCACAGTGAACCCCGTCTTAAAGGAACCCCAGCATAAGTGGAGGATGCCCAGGACCTGCAGTCCCTAGAAGGCTGCTGATTGTGTGTGAATGGGAGAGCTGTGGAGAGAGCAGAAAGCACAGGGCCTAGGTGAGCCAGTGGACAGCAGTGGCCTCTGCTTCCTCGGCTGTAACGTGAGAGTGTCTTGTGTGCTCTGGAAAGTGATAGGTGTCATGTGACTGTGTGGCATCAGAACGCACATTACATAGAGACGCCTGGCACAGAGAAGGTCACTGAGCTCTGGAACTACCCCGTGGGGAACAATCAGTGTTGGAAAACACAGGACGCGGCAGCAGGTGTCTGAGGCCCTCCTCGATTCTACCTTTCCCTGCTAGTGCCCCACCCCCATGCACATACAATAAAGCATTTGGTACGTGGGGAGGGCGTATAGTAGGAAATTACCAATACGGAGCCAGGTAGAAATATAAGGGTATTTAATAGGGAAAAGCCTTACTTACAGAGCAAACCAGCCAGCCAGTGGTAGTCTGTCCAGCAAGAAGCAAAGAGAGATGGAAACCAAAAATGCAGACCCCCTACTCATTCTGACCACGCCCTTACAAGCCTGCCCAGGTACTCCTGTAGCCAGCCCCTAAGAAGGCGTGGCTACAGCTTCCCCTACAAGGGCGGGAGACTGCAAGTGTTTGTGTTGCAAGGAGACAAACAAGAAGAATTCTGATGGGACCTGCCCAGGGAATCCACAGCTCACCCACAGCCTGGTTGCAAAGCAGTAGCTGTCCAGGGAAGTCCACGCTGCTTCAGAGTCCCTGTCTCGGTGACCAAAGGGTGCCAGTCAGGGGTTTATTTGAGAGTGGCTTGCAAAGCAGTGGAAGCTACATACGGGCAGCTGACCTACCCTAGGTCAGCTTATTCCAGGGCATTGACTCCAGGCCCAACTCCCTACATGGCCACAGACTGCCTCATGAGTGATGGCAGAGGTGGGCTGAGCTGCCTGGGAACCCTGACTTGAAAAAGGCCCCCTGGGATGGGGGGGGCTTTGAACACCTCTCCCACTAGAGATGAGAGGAGAGCCCCCCAGATTGCTTCAGGGCCATTGGGTTCTCCATTAGAACCTATTTCAGGGACCTTGTATGGGCTCAGTTGTCCGTGGAGACAGTTGTCCCAGCAACCCTGCCAGAAACTCAGGTGAGAGACACCATACTTCTAGTTTCAGAATCTTCCATGGGAGTTTATTTTTCCATGTGTCCACAGCAGTTACTTTTCTCATAACCATGACAAATTACCGGACAGAAACAGCTTAAGGGAGAAAAAAGGTTTATTTCATCTCACAGTATCAAAAGGGTTTCAGTCCACTGTAGCAGGGGCAGTATGGCGATCAGAGCTCGTGACAGAGACAACTTCCATCAGAGTGGCACACTGAGACTGTGTAGGATGTGACTGACCATCAAAGGCTTGCCCTAGTGGCTTTCACCAACTCTGTCTGACCTCCTAAAGCTTGCATAGCTTCCCAAATAGGGCCGGCACTCAGGGAATAAGATCTCTAAACATGAACCCGGGCAGGGGAAATTTCAGTCTCAAACTGTAACAATGATACAGACTGGCCCCTGTGACTCACACAACTCTGAGTCCCTGGGGAGAAAGGCACCCATAGCCTCCAACACCAAGCCACTTAGGACCTGGCCACTCAGTAGCCCAGGACCTGTGGAGACTCGGGAAGCCAGCAGAGTTCACGGGCGTTTCTGGCCACCCGGGAGCCAAGGGAGCACCTTAGGTGGCAAAACAAAACAAAACAAAAGACCCTTGCATCCCCATCAATCTGACTTTGAATTTCCTAACAGAGAAGACCCTGGGAAATTCCCTTTCCACCCCATCCTGTGTCCCTCCTCCAGTAAACTTAACACATGTAGTCGGCAAAGGAAAACAGGCGATGCTGGAATGCTGTTCTAGAATGGAACCCAGCCATGCCCATACTGTGAGTGAAAAAGCTGGGCCTGGGCCTCAGAAGAGGTGCTGGTGGACTGTGGGCTCCAGATACACAGCTGGCCACAGCCTGGGCTCCTCAGGTTGGTGCCTGGGTCTCTGCAAGAGGAGAGTCCCCTAGTGCATCATGTGGACACACATGCTGAAGAGAAATGGTGTGCTGTGAAAGTCCCAGAGATCTTGTGCAGAGGAAGTAACTGGGGTGCCCAGGTGGCGGTGGGGGGGCACCCCGTGTAAACACAAACGCCTTCTGTGCATTGGAATAAACGGATGAGTTTTGCATAGTGTTTGCCTGAGTGTGTCACGCTTCCTGAACCCCTGAGCGCTGACTGTGGGGTACTGACCCTGGCAGTTCCTGAGACTTCTGTCTTGGAGGTCAATGGTCTCCAAGTGTGTCCCTTAGGAGTTAGAAAGTGTGTGTGTGTGTGTGTGTGTGTGTGTGTGTGTGTGTGTTGGGGAAGGGGGCGGAATATGACACAACACACAATCTGTACACTTATTAATATGCATTGAAATGTTCACTATTAAATACATTAAACAAATAGTATTGTACATTTTCAGGAAATGCATACATTTTGGGTGTCTTTCTCCACAGACAGATCGTTACCAAACCCCTCACAGATTCCGTATCATAGAGCACCAGGGATGGCCAAGTCCAGTCATTCATTTCCATAAAATACTTTCGTTTGCCCTCCACCTCAAACCAAGAGGGTCCTGGATGGTACCAACACGAAGAGCCACTGCTTGCAGATCCCCAGTGACGGGGATCTCTACACATTCCATTCACGTACCACGTCCCCTCTCTGTGTTTTCATTCACTCACTCATTCTTCAAACAAAACCCCATTCTGTGACTCCACTGCTCAGTCTGTCCATTCCAGAAACCTGGGGCTCAGTGTTCTCTGCACCCCCGTCTTGTTCATCCCTAAATGGTTCTGCCCCTTGGTGTTCCCAGGGTCTTTCTATGACCAATCATCATGTCTTACCGCTCTCACCTCCAATATTAGCTGCCTTGTAATCCCCATTCTTCATTCAATAGCAGCAGCATTTTTCAAGACTATTGTCCCAGGAGGCTGTGATCATGAGGACCAGCTCTTGGGAGCTCAGGTTTCAGAGTTAGAGAGGGAGATGTGGAGTTCCATTCTGGTGCCCCGGGCTCCTGTTGGATTCTCATCCATGATATGGCAACTTTAAAACTGGAATGAGCGATAGTGTCAATCAAGTCAGAGAATTGCCAACAGGTGCATGTAGGAGAGTGTTGAGAACAGTGTCTGGTACATCCTTGACAGAATGCGTGTCATCTGTGATGGTGATGATGGCAGCGTGGTGGTGATAATGGCGGTGATGGTGGCAATGATGGCGGCAATGGCAGAAATGATGGCAATGGATGGTGATGAAGGTGTTGCAGAAGCTGGCGATTAATGGTGGTGATGGTGCTGAGGATAGTCTCCACAAGGGAACCGTTTATATGGCCCACCCCTCTAGGAATCAAGCCACCTGCTCACACATGGTTTATAAGACCCTTGGCAATCTGACCCCTGTCTATCCTGCTGACTCCATCTTCTCTATCTCCCTCATTCTGTAGCCTCCAGCTACACTGCCTGGGCAGATCTCAGGAGACATTGCACTTCTCCTCAGGTGACATTTCCCTTGTCAGCCTACACCCCACACTCAGTACCCCAAGTCTGAAGTGCCCGAGGGAGATTCCTGCTCCAGGGGATAAAGATGTGGGCATGGCAAACCACCCATCTAGGGCACAAATAGGTGTATGGTCCTGAGAGAAGCCAGAGTGTAGGACTAGAATCTCAACAGTCATACCTAGATGTGGAACTGTCTCCTCTTCTCCCACTACACAGGCCCCTCTCTGGGCTTCAGGAGGTAACAAGATCCATGGGGAGAGTTCCTTCTAGGCCTCAAGAAATCAGTCAAGAGTAGGAATTCTGCACCTATCTGCTCTGGCCAGGGCAGTCAAGGCCAAGAGAAGATAAATAGTCTGCATGCCAGGTAACCCCCATAGGAACTCAGCTAGGCCATGGACCGTAGCTCACTGATTGAGGAAGCCCCAGAGCACAGACTTCATAGTTCGGACTGTAAAAGCTCTGTTTGCCTCATAGAACTGGGCAGTGCATGTCTCTGTCTTTGCTACCCAGTCTCTGACATCATTGACAAGCCTCATACAGCCCTGATCCCTCATCCAGGTCCAGGGAGGATGTGGGGGGTCAGGAATGTGCAACAGTGGTCAGGAGCTGGCAAGAACAATGGCTGAAAGCTTAAGTTTGTGGGTTTTGGCTGAGGCCAGGCCTAGGTCAACCAGTCCCACAGAGTGTTTCACACGGAGCTAAGAACTAAGGACTTCAGCTTCACCACACCAGACCTCACCCCTCTCTCTCCATGGAGGTCAGCAAGGTCAGGAACTTACTGGGGTCCACAGTTCTTAACAAGGGTGTTAGGGAACCCCAAAGACTCTGAGGTGTTCAAGACATAGCCAACAAGAACTACAAAGTGCCAGAGAAAGGACCGCCAGGTAGCTTCTCCCATGAACTGCTTCTATACCAGGGTCTGGCCTGCTCATTCCACAATAAACAGTCTTTGAGCCCTCTTTACATTCTTCTACCTAGACATTTTCGACTTTACCATGGCACCGGGCTTCGATCTGTCCAGTCAGAATCTTTTCCTAGGCTAGTGAGACATCTGAGTGCCTCTGCACTGGGCAGAGACACCACAGCCCCCGGTCGGATCCAGAGTCGCAGTCAGGAGGAAACAACACACGATGAAGCTGTGCTACCAGGCTGAGACATTGGGTGGCATCGACATATAGCCCAAATTTTCCATTCAAACAGTTTTCAACTTACGACGAGTTTATTGAAATGGAGTCCCATTGCAAGAGGGGGAGAATTTGACTTCACGCTGATACACTCATATAAATTATGTTGAGATGTAATCCATATGCCCTACACTTCCCGTTTCAGCCTTTAGTTATTTACAGAGTTGCACAATCAATCCCCTTATTTAATTCCAGAACATGTTCATCATCCCAAAGTGAAATCCCAGATTCATTAGCTGTCACCCCAGATTCCTTCCATCCCACAGCTTCGGGTCACCACTCATCTCTGTGTCTCCTTTTGCCTCGCTCAGACATTTCATGCTGACACACTCATGTGTGAGTGCCGACGGTGTCTGGCCTCTCTCACGTGCTTCCCACTGAGATGTGACAGTTGTAGGAGAAGTCCCCATGTGACCTGAGCTGGTCACTTCACTCCTCCTCTCTCCCCTGCCTTTGGCCTCAGTTTCTCCATCTGTAATATGGAGAGTTAATTGTCCAAGCAAGTGCATCTCCAGGAGAGTTTGTGACTCTGAAAGGGGGTTTGGAAAGTTATAGCGGGTGGTGTCAGCAAGACAAAAGCTTCCCAGAAGGGGAGCCAGGCTCCTGGCTCCCACCTCAGCCCCCACTTCATGGCTGGAGAAAGTTGAGTAAGGTTCCCTTAGCTCCTCAGCTCATGTTTTCCTATCCTCAAAATAAGGATCCAGGTGTTGTGAACTGTTGCAGGGGGATCACAGTACATCTTCCAGGAAAACTCTTCCAGGAAAACATGCATCCATGTGGAAGTCCAGTGTGGACCCATTGAGAACAGCATCTTGGCAGAAGTAAGAGGTTAAAGTGAGGTTAGACAGGGATGGGGTGGGCCCTCAGCCAAACAACTGTCATCGTTCCAAGAGAGAGGAGGGCCCAGAGTCCAAGAGAAGGAGGGGACGCAAACTAGAGCGATGTGCCATGAGCCTGTGAGAGCAAAGAGTGACCATAGCCACAGGATCTGAAGCAGCAAGGAAGAGTCCCCTCAGGGCCTCCCTCTGCCACAATCCCAACGTGTCTTCCCAAGCACGAAGGAACACATCCTAAGAAAGAACAGCACCATGCAGCCTATTGAGTTTTGTAGATTTTACCAAGCTAAAGCCTGCTCAGGAATCTGTCCCTGCTGGAAGGCATCATCTACTCATTGTTATGTCCTGTGAGACCATTCATTCCCTCCCTCTAATGTACCTGTAAATTAACCCTCCTGGGAGGTCTGTGCTGGGGGTAATTAACTTATTTCTGTGATCTTGTGTTTTTTCTTGCCTTCTCCACCCACTCTTAAATGTCTTGGAAGCTATGGGCTTTCAGGAGGTTCTCAGAAAGAACAATGATGTTTAGTCCCACCATACAGGTTTCACAGGTTTGAATGAAACAAGTGTGTTTGCTTTGAGACAGGGTCTCACTGTATAGCCCTAGCTGATCTGGAACTCAGTATGTGGACCAGGCTAGCCTAGCACTCAGAGATGCACCTGCCTCTGCCTCTTGAGTGCTAGAAGACTGGAGCCTTTTCCAAGGTCACAGCATATCAGAGGCCGTCCCAGGCTCCCAGATCCAGGGACCGCTGGGTTTGTAAACTCACCTCTGCAGATCCAGGACTTGCGCCAGCTCACTTCTTCCCTTCCCCCAGCCCCCAAGGGCAGGTGTCTTGAATCAGGTTAAAGAAAAGCTGAAAGTTCCACCTCCCTGCTTGCAGTTCATGCATCTACCAAGCCCCTAGGGAAACGTTGTTTTACAGATGATACTTCAGACTCCCAAGGATGCTGCCTTTCCACGGATCCCAGACTGGCCAAGGTCATCCGTGTGGCCTCCCAGACTGGCCAAGGTGGACCTGCTGCGTAGTCTTATGTCAACTTGACACAAACTGAAGTCATCTGAGAGGAGGGAGCCCCAATGAGAAAATGTCTCCATAAGATTGGGTTGTAAGCAAGCCTGTAGTGTTGCTGGAGTTTCTTGTCCTGCCAGGTCCCACCGTTTCAGCCCCAAATGAACACACAGACACTAAATTAATTATAAAACTGTTGGCCAATGGTTAGGGCTTCTTTGTTTTTGTTTTTGTTTTGTTTTGTTTTGATTTTTGCCTTTTTCCCTTCTTTTAAATATAAGGCAGCTTGCCAACACATAATTTAAAAACTGGTCTTCAGTCACATTGCTTCAGATCACTACAGAATTTCTGGCTAAGGAACAGTGAGAATAAACCCCAAACCGTCAGTTATCAGCTCACATTCCCCAAAGACAAGAGGAAAGGCAAGGGCTTATTGTTGTTATTATTTTTAAAGCCCAACTGTGCAACAGAAGACAGGTGCAAAATTTTACAACAAAACAATCTAAAATTACAGAGAAGTGTTGAATTTCTAGACAAGTAATTGTCACTTGGGAATGAGACACATTGGTCCTGGACAGATGGAAGATGCTCTAAGAATGGGCAATGGGCAAGA